TGCATATGAGTACTGTTCATCTGTTGCACAATCAGCACCTGGCCTAGTTTTCACACCTAATGGAACTTCTCCAACAATACTTTCTACAGATGTAATCTATCTGATTCCTGTGCATACCATTAGGTGTAATCCATGTGTATGGTCGCTATTTATATTTCTTATAAAAAGTATTTGCAATTAATAAATCACTGATGATACAAAAGTCTGTTATCTTCTTTGAGCACTTACTAGCCTAATTCTGCCTTAGAATTCAAGCCCAAAGTTGCAATACTTAGAGACGCTTTTGACAAAATCTTAAAGGATCCAGGAAGGGTCAAAAGAAGATGGCTCCCAGAGCACATTATACTGAGTGAAATATCTCAGTCACAAAAGGACAAATACTGCATAATGCCACTGTTGTAAGATGAGACTGACATCAGGGTTGGGGGGAGACTGAGAAAGATGGGATAAATTATGTTTCCTGCATTGAAACAGATGAGGGAGAGAACTGTTTAAAAGGGATATGTGATTAGGTATTATTGTCATGACAGGAGTCCAGAACGAAGGCTGCACAGTGGAGTGGACTTGAGGGGAGGGATTGTATAACAATGAAAGAATTTGTCTTTTTACTTTTCAAAGAGAAGAGCGAACTTGGGGGAGAGGTGAGTAGGGAGAAAAGAGCAACAATGAATGAATGGAAATCCTAAGTCTCTGTAAATTTTCATTAAAATTAATAATTATTTTTAAAAAGGTTAAAAAAAGAGATTGTCTGTCTTTCTCTTGTGAAGCAGCTGGTAGTGCAGCTACTTACCACTCGGCCACCAGGACCCTTTATGCATATTTCAACTTTTTAAAGACGCATAATCATAATCTACAGCTTCCTCCAGAAATCATGCCCAGACAACTATGCTTCAAATGTTGAGTGTTCTCAAAACTTTCAAGTCTTCTGTTTGTAGACATTTTCTTGTTTGCTTCTCATATGGCAACTCGCAGGGACTGGGTTAGATTTCACTATCTCAAGAGGAATATTCTTTTCACCTTCCTGGGAATAGACTGTAGCTCCTGTGTTTGTTGTTGTTAGGTGCCATTGAGTGGAGTACAACTCATGACGACCTGTGAACAAAAGATCTGAACCATGTACCATCCTGCGCCATCCTCACACTTCCTGACACACAGGAGCCCATTGCAGCAGTCACTGTGTCAGTCCACCTGGTCAAGGGTCTTCCTCTCCTTTGCTGACCCTCCACCTTTCCCAGCATCGTGTCCTTATTCAAGGAATAGCCCCTCTTAGCATATTCTTGCCTCCAAAGAGCACTCCAGCTGCAACCTCTCCAAGACATATCTGTTCATTCTGTTGGCCGTCCGTGGGATGTTCGGTGCTCTTCTCCAGCACCACAGCTCAGGCATCACTTCTTTTTCTGTCATCTTTATTAATTGTCCAGCTCTCAGATGCATGGCTAATAATTGGAAAGACTATGGCCTGAATCAGACACACCTTAGTCTTCAAAATGACATCACTACTCCTCAATGATTTGGAAAGGTCTCTAACTGCAGATTTTCCTTATTTCCTGACTGCTGGTACCAAGGGTGTTAATTATGGGGCCAAGCAGGATGAAGATGTTGACCGTTTCAATCTCCTCTCCAACCATCACGATGCTGCCTATCAGTCCAGTGGTAGAATCTTTTGTTTTCCTGACAGTGAGATGCAATCCATACGGAAGACCACATTCCTTGATCTTCTGCCACAAGTGCTTCAAGTCCTCAATTTCAGCGAGCAAAGTCGAGTCATCTGCATAACACAGGTTACTGATGAGTCTCCCTCCAAACATGGTGCCACGCTTTTCTTCACAGAGTCCAGCTTCTCAGATAATTTGCTCAGCAGACAGGTTGAATAGGTATGGAGAGAGCATACAACCCTTGCACACTCCCTTCCCAATTCCAAACCATGCAGTGCTCCCCTGCTCTGTGCGTACAACACCCTCCTGGTCCTGGTATAGATTCCACATGAGCACAATCAAGTATTCTAGGATTCCTGTTCTTCTCAATGTTAGCTACAACTTGCTGTGATCTACATAGCCCAATGGCTTTGCATAGTCAATAAAACATAAATAGACATTATTCTGGTATTCCTTGTTTTCAGCCAGGATCCATCTGACATCAGCAGTGATATCCCTGGTGCCACGGGCTCTTCAAATCCTCCTTGAACTTCTGGCAGTCCCCTATCTATGTACTTTTCCAATCATTTTTGAATGATTTTCAATAGTATTTTGCTTGCATGTGATATCGACGATGTTATTATGTGCTGTCGAGTCACTTTGTTCAATAATTTCCACATTCAGTCAGATCACCTTTCTTGGGAATGGGAACAAATATGGATCTCTTCAAATCTTTTGGCCAGACACCTGTCCTCCAGATTTCTGCCAAAAACTGGTGAGTGCATCTAAGGCTGCATCTGTTAATTGAAACAAGTCAATTGGTATCCCATTGATTCCTGGGGCCTTATTGTTTGCCAATGCCTTCAATGTAGCTTTCTACTTCCTCCTTCAATACTATCAGCTCCTGTTATATGGTACCTCTTGGAAATTTTCAGTGTCAATCAATTCTTTCTGGTATAGTGATTCTGTTTATTCTCTCCATCTTCTTTTGATGCTTTCTGGTTCATTCAATATATTGCCCATAGCATCTTTCAGTATTGTAAAATGAAGCTAAAATTTGCTTTTCAGTTCTTTCAGCTTGAGAAATGAAGAGTGAGTTCTTCCCTGTTTATTTTCCAGTTTACGCTCTCTACACATTCCATTATACTACTTTGCTTTGTCCTACGGAGCTGCCCTTTATGTCTTTTGCTCAGTTCTTTGATTTTTACATGTTTTCCTTTTGTTTTGGCTTCTTGACACTCCAGTGCAATATTTAGAGTCTCTTCTGACATCCATTTCGACTTTTTCTTTCTCCTCTGTTTTTGTAATGACCTTTTGCTTTCTTTATGGATGATATCCTTGATTTCATCCCACAACTCACTGGTGGTCCTTCGATCACTGGTGTTCAGTGCTTCAAACCTATTCTTAAGAGGATCATGAAATTCAGAAGGAATTTATTCACAATCATATTTTGGTTCTTTTGAGTTTATTTTAATTTTCTTTGGCCTCAGTTTGAACCTGCATATGAATAATTAGTGATCTGACCCACAATCTGCTCCTCATCTAGTTTTGACTGCAAATATTGAGTTCCTTAATGATTTCTTCCATTAGTGTAATGAATCTGATTCCTATGCAGCCCATCAATTGAGATCCATGTGTAAAGTTATAGTTTGTGCCTTTTAAAAAGAGGTATTTGCAATATATGTCATTGTAAATACAAAATATAATCATTCTGCGAGCTCTGGTGGCTGGCCTAGTGGCAAGAAGCTACACTGCAATCCCAGAGGTACATGGTTCAAATCCACCAGATGCTCTGCTGGAGAAGGAGGGACAATCTCCTCCTGTACAAGTCAAATCCAATTTGATGGTACACACACAAAAAATAATAAAATAAATTTAAAAAATAATCATTCTATTACTAGCCTCATTTCTATCCCATATCTAGCCCATATTTTCCAACTACTATACCTTCTTCACTGCTTCCTACTTTTGTATTCCAGTCATCAGTTGTCATTAACACATCTTGAGTGCATCTTCAGTTAATTTCACTCTGCAAACTTGGGTAATAATTCTCAATTTCTTCCTTTTTGGCTCTTGAGGTAGGAACATATATTTGAATGATAGTCATGTTAATGGGGCTTCTTTATATGTATATGGATATTAACCTATCACTCACAACATTGTATTTCAGGATAGAACTTGAAATTGACTTTTTGACTATGAATGCAACGCCAATCTTCTGTTTTCATTCCCAGCATAGTACACCATGTGATTATCTTACTCTAAGTGGCCGAAGCTGGTCCATCTCATCTCACTAATACCTAGTATGTTGCTGCTCATGTGTTCCATTTCATTTTTAATAATCTCCACTTTTCCAGCATTCAAGTTAACGTACATGCCATGTTCCAATTGTTAAATGATGTTTGTTATTGTTTTTCCTCATTTCAACTGACTTCCAATCTAGGTGCTAGAACTACACTACTATAGCTATCCCATTTCTTTAGTGTTCATAGGGTTTCCAAATGCCTGTTGTTATTTAGGAAGCACATGGCCTATCCTGCTTCCTAGCCTGCCTTAATCAGGGAGCTCCACCAAAACATGTCCACCCTGGGCAACCCTTAAAGCATTTGACACACCATTAGCACAGATGTCAGTATCACAGCAACCCCAAGTTATCTCAGTACAGCAAACTGACATACAAGTGCTGTATCCTTTAGAACAACAGTTCTCCTCAAGCACAGTTAACACCCAGTTTACAATCAGCTTTTAAGTAAATAAAAAACACCTCCAGGATCCAACTGCTCCAAGCTGGAGACTCATTCTCAGGCAGGACCTAACTGACATTTAAATACAAAAGCCCTCCCACCAGATCCTGTTTTCTTAAGCAAGAGGCTTTCAACCCACAGCTGATTGCAAATGAAATCAGAAACAGCTAATCAGCTTACACTTGATTGTTAACACAGTGAGAAACTCCCAAACAATGTACATCCAGCTTTCAAGTAAATCAGAATCACCCTTCAGGATCCAACTTCTCCAAACTCCTATGCTGACAACAAAATTAATTTGAATATGATAAGGATTTGGAAGCAGGAGTGGCATCCACTTCTGAAACAGCTTGCCTCTGGAAATTCTATGAACATGGAGAAACAATGAAAGTTATACAAGTGTGCAGGTCTTTTGTTCATAGGGTTGCTATGAGTCGTGTGCAGCTCGATGGCACTTAACAACAACAACAGGATAAGGATGTGGCACTTGATAAATTTGGCTTACGATGAATTTTCATTTTTAAAAATATGCCCAACATAAACCAAGTATTCTTAGGGTTTTTTCCAGCTGATCATAAGTGTTCAAAGGAATTGTATTGGTGAATTTATTTTTATTTTTCAGTTGAATGTTCTACAAGACCTTCACCCATTACCCAAGATCATTTTGGAATATAGGCAGGTATGTGAAAGCATTTTTGTAGAGACTTGGTGGTGAAAAGGAGCTTGTGAGAGCAGGCCAGCTGACTGGATTCCCGTGTGGCTGAAGCTGTCCCATGTGTGATCTAGAGTGAAGGCGTCTTGTAGACAGAGGCAGGTGACATGGGTTTGAGTTGTCTACTAAAGGAGCTTAGTGCAATGTGAGTGGGTCGAACCCCTTTGTTTCAAGTTGCCCTCTAGCAGCCCAACTTTCTTGAGCTCTGATATAATTTTACTCAATGTGTAGTCTGTCTTGCTCCACATTGTGACTCCAGGGAGCCTGCATGAAGGAAACGGTGCTGTAACAATGGCAACACCTTCCACTTATAACCAAAACAAAGACAGACCTGGGACCTGCTGCCAAGATTGTTCTTGTTTGTCAGTTCATTGATTCTGACTCACAGCACCCAGAGGATTGCCTAGACTGTGACTATTATGGGATGTAGATCGTCAGTCCTACACCCAGAGATCTCCTAGACTGTAACCATTATGGGATGTAGATCGTCAGTCCTACACCCTGAGGATCTCCTAGACTGTGACTATTATGGGATGTAGATCATCAGTCCTACACCCCGAGGATCTCCTAGACTGTGACTATTATGGGATGTAGATCGTCAGTCCTACACCCAGAGATCTCCTAGACTGTAACCATTATGGGATGTAGATCATCAGGCCTACACCCCGAGAATTTCCTAAACCATAACCCTTACAGAGTGTCGATCACCAGGTCTTGCTAATCATTCTCTCCCACAGAGTAGCTGGTGGGTTCAAGCTGCTCAATTCTCAGCCATGCACGTAACCATTACAAACCTGGGGGACAGTTGTGTTCTGTCTTATATGGTCCCCATGAGTAAGAATCAGCTTGACAGCAAGCAACAAAAGAAAGAAAATTAACCCAAGTGCAGAAGGAAATATTTGGTATGTTGTTATGGTTTGACTTCAAGGGAAATAATACTTTTCTCATCAGTATCCAGTTGAGATGATGATTAAGAACTAGCCTCCTTCCTCGCCTCACTTCTGGGCCTGGCTAATTACTCACTGACTGTGATTTATTACCTGGCATGAAAATCAATGACTCATTGATAAGTTCCTCTTTCTTCCTGTTCCAATCCTGCCCTCTTTATCATGTGTCTTCTGTGGACTTCCACAGTTCTCTGCTATTCCTGGGCCACATTTATAGCTTTCGCCATAGCTATACCATTGGTACTGGTCCTTGGCCTCCTCTGTTCTAGTGAGGGCTATACACCTTTCACCTTGAAGTATCCTAAAAATTGAAAGAGATATTAAAGAGGATTCCTGCAGGAGACATGTGTGAGAAGTATACTGGAATTCTCATCTTTGCAGCATTTTTTTCATTGCCCAAAATATAGCATTAACTTAAAATGCAAGTGATAGCCTCCATTGTAACTCTCGTATTTAATTCTTGGTGCCACTGAAAATCCTTTCAGGTTTCCTGGGGTCATATTAGTTGGTATCAGAAGTACTTTAAATATTTTTCTAAAAAAAAAGATAACTTTTTTTCATTTTGTAATTTAGGTTCACAAGATCAAGTCAACTTTTGTGGATGGCTTGCTAGCATGCATGAAAAAGGTAACTGAATCTTCAGTAAATTCTGTGGTTAATGCTTATATATGACTTTAACTAGAGACTGATTGTTGTTCAGTACCGTTCAGCCAGAATTGGCCCATAGCTCACCCTCCAACCGAGCAGCTGATGGATCTGAACCAAATACCTTCAGAATTGCAACACAACTTCTTACCTTGAGGCCACCAGAGGGAGGTTTACATAGAGGTCATATATATATATATTTTTTTACTAAATTATCTACTAGTTTTTACTAAATCATCTACTGTTCTTGAAGCAGAAACCGTGATGTTGTTCTCCACCAACCTCTACAGCATTACTTGACATTATGACATAAAACCTTGCATTTCCCTGATAACTGCACAGATGATCATGTTTTTACCCACCTGTTGTTCGCATCACTTTTCTGGAGTCATTTGCCACCTCAGATTTCATCACTTTACTTTTTAGACTACTTGCCTTGTGAAATGTTGTGGTCACACAGTAAGTGATAGTACCTGTCTTCTTTGAAGTCTACCCGCAGGAATTCCCTTCTTAGCGTTCCCTTCATTGTCCCTCAGTCGCTTCCCTCCTCATGCACTGTAATGTGAAGATCTACAAATCTTCACAGTTTCCTTCTTCCCCCATCCCAGATCATGTCTTAGAGTTTGGGAACCCCCGAAGTCCAGGCTTGGGGTTATAGGCCAGACCGCTGTTTTCCTGCAGGACGAGGACAGTGGGCACTGTGTACTGCAGGGGAAAACAAAAGGACCTGACATGCTCTCAATTTAGCCACTGCTCTGAACTGGTTCTTCCCAATTCAGTCATGGCCAATGATGTGAAATTAGAACAGACCCAAATTTGCAAAATGTGATTGGACCAGAATAGGAAAATTTTCAAATCAGTGCCCTTCTAAAAACAATCTCCCACTTAGAAAACACAGACAGTGTGTGTGTCATGAAATTACCAAATCTCTTAAACGACAGAGTCAGAAACAATGGTACCTTGCTCAGAGATGCCAGCCAGCCAAGCTGCTTTGGTTGTTTGTGTTTGGTTGGTTGGTTTTTTTTTTAAATTTATTTTATACATGTTTACATTCAAAGTTCATAAAGTTTATGTACATTGTTTTTCACACCAGACCTTTCCCCTTAACTTTACCAGTCACTCCCTCCACCCATTAAATTGTGCAACCCTTTGTTTAAGGGCCCCCATCTTGGATCCTCATACACACTCTACAATACTTGTCTTTATGAGACTGAGTTAGATGATTTAGCATTATACTCTCCAGTCCCTCCCATGTTGTACGCCAATATTTGTAGCAGCATTATTCACCATAGCAAGAACGTGGAAACAGCCAAATGCACAACCACAGTGGAATGGATTGAGAAACTGCGGTACGTTCCCACAGTGGAATACCATGCAGCACACAGGAGCGATGATTCTGTAAAGCCACACTGCTCTGCGTGTGTGCTGCTCTCCGAGAGTCCTGGCAAAAAATGAGTCGCCTGCGTCAGGCTCCGGAAAGGGCTCTCTAAGCCTGCTCCACTTCTCTCTCCCAGGGCACTTGTGTCCCCCACATTCCAGTTACCATTCTGTTTCACCCAAATTTTAAAAATTAAAATCTATTCTGCTTTTCTTTGGTCAGCCATGAACAGGTTTGAATTTAGCACAGAGTCATTCTGAATTTAAGATGCTTCTGCTTTGCTTTGTTTTTTACTTGATAAAGGGCTTCATTTCCTCTACATGGAACCAGACAGGGACCGTGACTGGACGACTTTCAGCGAAGCATCCCGTAAGTGAGCTGCTTTCTGTGACTGCCGGTCCTTTGCTATGTAATTGAAGTGTTGCCTAGGAGTGTGCTTTTATGGGCACTTAGAATATGATGCTTTTCATTGATGAGGGGACCCCTGTGCTGACAAATGGCTCCATTCTGTTCCTTCACTCAGCCAATATTTATCTAGCACCTCCTGTGTTCTAGGAACATAGTAGGGTGAAGGAGACCTATAAACCCTACCCTCTCAAAGCATGTGAGCAAGCGAGGGGCTAGGTCTTCATTCCAGAAAACGATGCCCTTCAGTGCCAAAAGCAGCAGGGACCCCTTCCCACTGCTTGCTCTTTGTCATCAGGTTATGCTGGGCAGGTGACTTCTGGCTCCCAGAAATGTGGTGAGGTCTCCTGCCATCTAATGAGCAAGTCCATTTATTTTGGTAGAAGATTATCACTGATTGGAAAAAACCTTGTACATGCCCTTGATTTTATGATGCAGCTTGTTGTTGTTACTGTTGTTGTGTACCATCAAATCAGAACCAACTCATACATAGCTGACCCTCTCATGGGTTTTCAGAAGCAATAAATCACACAGGAGGACACTACCCATCCTGTCTCGCAGAGCAGCTGGTGGATTTGAGCTACATACCTTCAGAGTGGCAGTGCAGCCCCTTACCACTCGGCCACCGGAGCCCTCTGATACTGATGACGTAGCTTAGTAGCATTTGAAGTGTTGAACTTGTGCTAAATGGCCTTATACTTTTCTAATTAAAGAAGACTATTTTCCTTTTTTTTTTTTTAACTTTGATAAATGTCGAAAGTTGTAGAGGGGCTTCTGGCCTTTTGTTCATGGGGTCACTATGACTTGTGCTCCCCTCGATAACAATCAACAATAACAAGTGTAAAATGGTGCAACCCCTGTGGAAAGCAGTATGGCGCTTTCTCAAAAAGTTGCAAATAGAG